GTAACATCAACACATCGTGTACATGTTCTGTCACTCACATTTGTGACTAAAGTCCAATATGACAGATCGAATCCAGTCATCATTAGGAATCACATAGACATGACATTCCTTTTTACTCGTTAATTAACGTTATTAGGAAGTATCTATTTTTTATACCTAAATGCACCCTTCATAGCATTAGTGACGTACACGAATACATACAAAAAGACAAGTAGATTCCACGTCAAATTTCTGTACGGTGCACCACTCTTACGAAGCATAATCATTTAGGGGTTGAAATGGTCAGTAATGGCTGCTAAATAGGTTCATAGGAAGGAATATTTATCGTCGTTGTATCCACAAGGTGCTCCCATAGCTCGCGATCTTAAACATCGTATTGTCTTTTAAAAATATCTTTCAAAATTACTAGAGCTTCTTCTTGTTTAATATTATTATGGTGATTGAAAAATATGGTTTAAGCAAATAAATAATTTACTGCTCAGTACTGAAAAGGAAATGGAGAAAATAGAGTACATAATTACGATTTCCCTACAGCTCCCAGCTGAAATATATATTGGATAAATGGTTATAACATTTCATTGCTAAACAACCAGCTAGAAATCAGCTCAATCGATAGGACAGATTTAATTGATTCCATTACTGTCGTCATCATAATCACAAGGAGAACGTTATCATTAGATTTTACTTGGCACTTTACAACTGCTCCACTCAAAAGGATAGTATACTCCTTGTGTTACCATTTTAAAAATAACAACTTCAATATCAGTATTCCGAAACAATGTCTAAAGGAACATGCTCATCCAAGCACTGATACATTCAGACGACTATGATATATATATATATATATATATATATATATATATATATATATATATATATATATATATATATATAGAATTCAAGACGGTTTTCCTAATTTATTTGTATTTGGGTTTGCATATTTTAGTAATGCTGACACTGCCATTGCAACTTTGATGTGAGCTACGTACCGTGTGTAAAGTGTTTATATTACAAACGAAGAACGAAGAACTAGATTGATATTGTAATTAATGATGGTGTCAATATAGGCTGTTCCAATAATGAACAACTGATTATCGAATATCTTTCCATGATTAATAAACATTAGGCAGTCGAAACTTCACCAACACCTGTATTTAAAGTAACTTTGAAGGAAAACATTTAGATTTTTGATTATTAAATCAACTCATACAATATGTAATATAACCAATAAATAAATTATACTAACTCTATGAGTAAATTAATAAATAACATTAAATCAACCAAAATAATTAATAGAATGTATTTTTACTATTTCACTTTATCAGATTCTTTTGCCTTTTACAAGAGATCAAACCATATTATATCATTTTAAAACTATGCTTGGATCACCACCAAGGGTAATTAATAAAAACTCTACAGAAGCATATATTTATCCTCCTTCTGGAGTGATACCATTTCACGGTTTTTCTATGTATAGTAAGTGTTTTTGATTTTTCATTACAAATATATTCAAATAATCTGTTTTAAACTCTTGTATGACTAACCTTTGTACTCTTCATGACTCTTATCCATGAATATTCCATTTTTCCATGTCACTTTGATTTAGCACACCGTAAAATGGTGACTAAAACACCGAGTAAATTAGACATATCTTGTCAAGTGAAATAATGTAATAAGGCTGTAAGTCAAGTCGAATTCAAGTGTAGAGCAGTTTTAATGAGTAACACTAGTAGTTTACCTACCCAAAGATGATTGAATTTGTAAACCATCTGAGTTATTTCAGTCGTTTCTAAATATACACAAGCTGCAATTAGAACTTCCTTTTTGTCTGTTACTCCTGTCCAATCATGTTAATCAAGCACTATTATCGTTCATAAATTGTTGATTTAAATTGTACGACTTAATCAACAGATAGTTCAGATGTAACCATTGTCAATTTTTTTTTGATAAATTCTACTCTATCAAGCATTTAGCATCAAGGGAGATATATGACATAAAAAAGAATTGCAACAACTTACATTAGCATAGCTGATGTTAATCAGAATGTCATTTGTTATACCTATGTGTTATTATGTAAGAACAACTACTTTAATATTCATTTAGTATTGTTTGTTTGAATCTTCCCATCGATGTGTTAGGACTGTAACTGGTCAATCTCCAGTTGGTATATGTTCATGCTGTGCGTATTGCCTCGATATAACCTTAATTCACAAGCATTGTAAGCAAAGATGGATAGTGGCTAGCAGTGGAATCCATGACGTGCGTTTCATCCTATTTAGGACTCATCAGCTGGATGTACCTGCATCTCAGAGTTGATGTTTACTCTGGGACTCGAACACAGTACCTTTCACTTCAAACACCACCGCTTTATCCACTCAGCGAAAGGTATTTGGTTCGAATCCCAGAGTGAATATCAACTCTGAGATGCAGGTACATCCAGCTGACGAGTCCCAAATAGGACGTAACACGCGTCCTGGATTCCATTGCTAACCACTATCCATCTTTGCTTACAACTACTTTAATAGTTGCTAGAACATTTACTTAACGATAATTATAATTTCTTGACTTCATTTGGTTTACCGCTTCATGTATTTAAATCAATAAATCCTCACAATAATAATACGAATTTTTACAGTTATTAGTTACTTTAAAAAATTGGATTTTATTCACAATTCGTACATTTTTCAAATTTTTTCTCACTATAGTGTTACCATTATGTTATTTATATGACGACCCAGTCTCTTTGTATGTAACATTTCGTCAATTATATATACGTTACTTTTACAAACTACATACCATATCCGATGAGAATAGTGTAAGTTTATTATTTATTAAATCTTTCACATATATACAAACCATATGACTCTGTATTGTATGACTAATATGTGAAATCTTAAAAATAAAAAAATTAACATCTGCACCATAACTTGAGAAGTAAAACTAAATAATTTGAATAGTGTTGACAGGCTCAAAACTAAGAAAACAAAAATCCGAATCAACAGTTTATAAGAAAGTTGTTTACAAATTATTTATCTTTCGTTATTTTCAGGGTATTTTATGTTTATGTTTGTTGTTTGAACGTTTGTTACAAAGCAAAGAGCCTGAGATTTTCTTTCATTTAAAATCATTTGGTGCACAACCGTAAGTTGGATTTTTATAAAAAATTATATACATTACTCATATTACTAATTTCTTAGTCTTAATAATTATGAGATGGCTTTTGTTACTAGAATGAAGTAAACAGAGATGATAGTAAAAGTAGAAAGTCTGGACAGTAATTAAAATTGAGCTGGAAACTTTCTAAGTAATTATTAATCTAATCTATTCGCTAATATACTATAGTGATTCACTGACTAAATATCTTTTATTGTTATGCTACTTGTATTGGTATTTAATTATACTACATAATTATGCTGTCTATCAATCAGGTTCACAATCAATGCAACAATAGTCCATTTTGATTAAAATAATGAAACGGATCTACTATGGTTAATTTGCAATATATGAGCACTATAATGTTCACGAAATTAAACATAATAATTGGAGTCTAGAATATGAGTGCCGAAATAGTTTTAGTCCTGTTAATTACTAGGCTGAATCTGATAGAAATCGACTTTTATAATTAACTGAAATAGTCTCCAAGATACAGCCTCTATTTAAATGTGAGAATTTAATTCAGTATCCTTTAAAAATATTTATGGTAAGTTAAGTGTAGATTAAAGAACCATGATAGAAACTCTTGATTAACATACTAAATGTTTATCTTTAATTTCAAGAGTGATTCGCCAAAGTAAGCAGAAGAATACACTACTATTTCATGTAGTGGAACTAATGATGTTCATAGCGTTTGAGGGAATCTATGATACTGCCAGGTCTTACCTACTTACTTACGCTTGTTACTCCATATGGAGCATAGGCCTTCGACCAGCATTCTCCAACCCACTCTGCCCTGGACCTTTCCTTCTAGGTCTATCCAGTTTTTGTTCATTCTTCTCATGTCTGTCTACATTTCTCGGCATATTGTGTTCCTAGCTCTTCCTCTTCTCCTTCGGCCTTCAGGATTCCATGTGAGGGCTTGCCTCGTGGTGCAGTTGGGTGATTTCCTCAACGTGCGTCCTATCCACTTCCAGCGCTTCTTCCTGATTTCTTCCCCCACTGGAATCTAGTTTCTTCTCTCCCACATTAGCTTGTTGCTGATAGTGTCTGGCCAACGGATCTGAAGTATTTTGCGTAGAAAACTGTTAATAAACACTTGTATCTTCTGGATAATGGCTTTCGTAGTTCTCCAGGTTTCCGCCCCATACAGTAGAATTGTCTTGACATTTGTATTGAAAATTCTGATCTCGGTGTTGGTTGACAATTGTTTTGAGTTCCAGATGTTCTTCAGTTGTAAATATGCTGCTCTTGCTTTGCCGATCCTCGCCCTCATATCTGCATCAGATCCACCGTGTTCATCAATGATGCTGTCCAGATTTGTAAAGGTTTTTACATCCTCCAAAGCTTCCCCGTCAAGTGTGATTAGATTAATGCATGTCGTGTTGTATCAGAGAGTATTGCTTTTCGCCTTGTGAATGTTGAGACTTGTTGTTGCTGAGACTGTTGCTGCACTGATCGTTTTCTCTTGTATTTGTTGTAGCGTGTGTGATAGAAGAGTCAGATCATCTATGAAGTCTAGACCGTCAAGCTTCATCCTTGCTGTCTACTGTTTCCAATGCTTCTCCCCAAATGTTGACGTCTCCATGATCCAGTCGATCACCAGGAGAAAGAGAAAGAGTGAGAGTAAGCAACCTTTCCTAACACTGGTCTTTACCTCGAACGAGTCGGAGAGTTGTCCTCCATGAACGATTTGGCAGTTAAATCCATCATAGGAGTTCCGTATGATATTGACTATCTACTCAGGCACGCCGTAGTGTCGAAGAAGCCTCCATAGTGTTGCCCTGTCCACGCTAGCAAATGCTTTCTTCGTAGTCAACGAAGTTGATGTAGAGTGATGAATTACATTCGATTGATTGTTCCACAATGATCCGTAGAGTTGCGATTTGGTCTATATACGATCGATTCTTACGAAATCCAGCCTGTTTGTCTCGAAGTTGGGCGTCTATGGAGTCCTTCATTCTGTTTAACAATATCCTGTTGAAGAATTTTCCTGGTATTGAGAGAAAACTGATTCCCCTGTAGTTATCGCACTTTCTGAGATCGCTTTTCTTTGGTATCTTGATCAGGAGTGTTTTTTTCCAGTTCGTTGGTAATTGTTCGTCATCCCAAATGTAACCGAAGAGAATGTGGAGTACCTTGGCAGTTGCTGCTACATCTGCTTTCAGTGCTTCTGCTGGAATGTTGTCTGGTCTCGCTGCTTTGCCGCTCTTGAGTTGTCTGATGGCCATGTTGATCTCTTCGATTGTTTGTGAGCCAACATCGATTTGGAGGTCTGTGGGTGATGCTTTGATGTTGGGTGGGTTCAGTGGAGCTGGCCGATCTAAGATTTCCTTAAAGTGCGCTACCCACCTGTTTCCCTGTTCCTCAATGTTGGTGATTGCTTTGCCTTCCTTGTTTTTTACTGGTCGTTCTGGTTTACGATAATTTCCAGCGAGCTTCTTTGTTGTATCGTACTATTATCTAATGTTTCCCTCTCTTGCAGCCTTTTCCGCTGTCATTGCTAGATCTTTCACATATTTACGTTTGTCGGCTCTTCGAGAAAATTACAAATTATCTGATTATTACGGACATATTAATTTTAAAGAAGTATGAAGTAGCGAAGCAGTAATCATAAACATTGATACTAAAGGAAGCATTAAAATGAGTAAAAAAAAGGAGGGAAAGGACACTACATCGACAATAAACGTTTCTTTTCGTAACCAAACTATCTGCCATTCATTTAGTTTGCAGTAGAAACAAAGTCTATCATCATTTATTATAAGTTGACTTATGAAAACATTATCCGAATCGCAGTTACTAATGAAAATTCAGGGTATCAAGGTGCAAGTTGTATTTGAATATATTTTCTAAATGAGTTCATAGAATGTATGATATCAGAAAAGGAGTAGTTAGCTGTAACAATTCAGTGTGATGTGATTGGTGTAGAACATGTTGGTATATTACTTCAAAGTAATACATTTTAGGCGTATAATTACGTTTGCACTCATGGTGACTAAAGAAGATGTAACGTTAAACTCAGTTTTTTTCTTCCTTTAAAGGTTAACGCATATATTCATGAATATCATAAATACTTAACTATTCCATTATCACATTATTGATCATGTCTTCAAGTCTGATTATTCCTTCTGTTACTAGGATATAAACAAAAACTGAAATTTTATTCAAATTAGATGCTTTGCTAGAATATAAGATTTGTTTCTTATAGAGAAGCACCAAAGTAAATTGAAAATTTCTGTTACGAAACAAATCCCTCTAAAAAGTATGTAATCCAAACTGAAAAATCAAGTCTTACTGTTCAAAGCTTCAGATTTTTATTTACAAGGGTTCATATAATGGTCAAAAAGTCATCTTTATTGTACAGTCCTTGTAAAATTATCTTTATGTAAACTTAGCAATAACATTATTAAAAAATTCTACTCCTGAAGAGAAAATATTTTTCTCTGCTGCGAAAACACATACTTGCCATATTTAATCCATGAATACAGAAGCTATCACTATTTCCAAGAATAATTCATTACTCTTCAGTAGTAGATACAACTAATTCAGTAATGACTGATTTACGATCACTTTCTCTAGTTGTACACATCTATATGGTAAGTGAGCAGGATAACTTTCGACTGCTCCCAATGCGGAATAACTAAATTGTTATAGTATTGATACGATTCAGAATTGTGTAAGGTGATTTTGGATTATGATGCTAACAATATTTACTTATTTTCTTGAACGTATCTAACAGATATTATTACAAGTGATTAGTTCTTCACAAAGAAAATCTATCACAATTGTTGTGATTTTTATCACTTGTTTTAACAAATAATGTTTAACTTTTCAATAACTTTTCTTCAGTGTCCGTTTTATATTTAAATGGCTAATGCGTGCATTCAGTGGCTTTTTGGCACCTGACCAAGTACTTTTACTATGGGATAGAATCCTTGGATTTGATTCTTTGGAAATTTTATCAGGTGCAGACAACTGTAAAATGTTTTCTTATGTACAGTAAAGTAATTGTGTACCTTTATGTTTTATATATGGATATGAGTCGACCATAAATGAAGCATACCGACATAAGCTACTCTGGTTCTCGATACCGCTCGGCAATTAAAGCAAAATACTGGACGTAATAGTTGAAACCAATAGCTAACTTCACCAACTGTTATTTTGAAATGAACCAAAAACTCAGGCTTCCTATCTCGGCTCTTCAGTAAATTAGGACTAGATCACAAAACCATCAAATAATAGTGTAACATTTACCAAACATCTCGCATAAATGAAGTAAAATGATTAAATTTGACCAGCCCATTGATTTCGTTCACAGTGTTTCAGACAGAGCCTGAAGCTACACTTACATCTACTAATTCCTGAAGTCTTTTTGGAAAACTCACTAGCTACACTTAGTCACAGTGGTCAAATTGAAGTCTTGTAGATGACATGCTCGTCGTCAAGATAGATAAACTGAAAATAATACTTCCGATGAGAGGAAAGAAGTCCAATGTCAGTTACAAATTTGACGATGTAGATCATCAGTATAATGCATTTTGAATTAACGAAGTTTTGAGAGTGGTGTTCAGTTCGCTTCTTAATAAACATAACTGGAAAAACTGTTGTGGTTGTGTTTTCTGCCTACTCTCAACACAATAATTCCACTAACGTAGATACTGAACGCGCTGATAATCAAGTGTTCACGTAAAATCAACCTGTTCCAAAACCGCCAATTGGAACATTAGAAAGTCCAGTCAAGGACCACTTATTTTTTCAGAATAAAATGATACAAAAGTGTTATCTACACATGAATACAAGTGACTACATAAATGGTGGATCATAATGTACCTTAAATCTCACTAGGTACAAAGCTGAGTAATAGGTTTACAGACAGTTAACTATATTTTTATGAGTAGCAAAAGATATCTCTACCTAGAATTGGTCAAACGAAAGCTCACATTTAGGATAACAATAGAATACTGTCAATCAGCTATCGAATGAATAAGTAAAAAGTGCGGAAATTATGTCTATCATTTCGTAATTACGTACTACATTCACGACCACTGTGTCATTTATATTCCCAATTTTAATTTTTTTTACAGTTCTAGCTGTCGCTATATTCTCTTACCGTCGTACTAATCTACTCCTGGTGAAAACAACTGCGGATGTTGAGGTGTGAAAATTGTAAAAATCTTGCTTGGTATATTTAATGTTTGTTTGATTTTACTTTACGGTTCTTATTATTTCTGATAAGATTATAAGTTCAAGTTTAAAAACCATCCATCAGCGGAAATATATTTAGCCAAGAATCATTTCTGAGAAAACTGCTTACATACACTTCACTAGGTGCCTTAGTCATTACGTAAAACTTGGGTAGATATCTAGTGCAGTCAGTCATACGCAAGAAAAAACATGACACATATGTGCATCTGTTCAAGTTTCCATGCCATATTAGCACAGCCAGATAAGATTATCATTGAAATCATGAACTGATCGAAGTTAGACAGCTATTAAAAGCGGGATGTACTAGACTGCTGTTTCTTTCTAGCATGGGTCTCTTTAAGGTGTGCACCCACAACGTGAACAGGAGTCGAACTAATGACCTTCAATCTCGCACACAGACTTAACCTCTAGACCAATGAGCCAGTATCCAATAATGTTAATTCCTAACTTCGATCGATCCACGAGATAAGATTATTCCGATACAGAGTAGTAACAGTATCTGTTGTAGCAGAAATTAGGTATACAAAAATAAGAAGGGTATACGATTTCACAAACCACGTTCCGAAGAGAGAAAGGTAATGAGCACACCCGTGCCATCGCAAACGAATCTCTCCCATGTCACCCAAAGTCCTTAACCACTGGTTGCAATAATTACGCGGATACCAACCAGGTAGTTTACACTTATTAACATGGCTCAATCCAGTTGTCAATGACGTCATGGATTGGCGTCACGTCTTAGTTCGACCAGCCTGTAACTTTCTTCCAACGCCTATCGTGATGAAGCAATCGAGCTATGCTGGCTGGAACAATCGTTCCTCGAGGTCCTACCATGCCAGACAGGTCGGTTGAAGAGCGGTGAGACTAAAAGCAGCAAACCCAAGGTCCGAAGGTGAAGTCGTACTGCTGACTACAGAGGTGTGACAGCAGTAAGGTGTTTCCTTCAGACAACCAGCATGACAGCGATGCTGCCTTCCCACAAGGAGGGGTGGGGTTAGAAAAGGTCGACCCTAAAAATGCACACCTCGCCTTATCCCACGGATAACCGTCTCCGGCGGTTAGGTTTTTTTGAAGAACGGAGCTAACACAAAAACTACCCACAAAAAGGTCGTGTGTGACCGACCTCAAGCAGTTGTCCCTTGGGCACTGCAGTCACGCTCTCAGGTCATTAAGACCACTTCTAACCCAATTTCCTTTTCAGGTACCTCTAGGAGAATCCTTCCATGGTGTGGGCAACCGGGAAGTGATAACTGCCCTCATACCTCTAACAGCATTCAAAACCACTGTATTCATAATCAATCTCCTTCTTCAATTCCTACCATTCCTTCTACCTTGACTTTCAACACTAAACTTCCTCTCTCGGTTTCCTCCTCAAGTGTCACCATGGCCAATGATTCTAGTGATCAAAACACTGTCGTAGGTCTACTAAAACCTCACTCCAAACTACACATTGGAGCCTTCAACGTACGTACCCTATGCCAAATCGGTCAACAGGCCTCCTTAGCTAAAACCCTAGAATCTCGTACCATTGATGTATGTTGTGTCTCCGAAACACGCATACAGGATCCCAGTGTGGTCATTCACTTGACCTCACCTCGCCAAAATGGACAGCCAACGAAATACACCCTCCGTGTATCTGGCGACCCGTTGGCTAGTCCTCGTGGACTTGCAGGTGTAGGCATAGCACTAAGTACAAGGGCAGAACAGGCACTACTAAAATGGATCCCCGTTAACAGTCGCCTGTGTGCTGTCCGGCTAAATGGCTCCGTAAGAACTCGGAAGGATAGGGACACACGTCGTTGCCTTTTCGTCGTTTCTGCCTACGCTCCCACTGACTGCAGCCATGATGAAGTGAAAGATGACTTTTACAGAAAACTCTCTGAGCTTCTTCAGAAAGCTAAGCGCTCAGACATAGTAGTCGTAGCGGGTGACTTTAATGCCCAGGTAGGCAGCTTGAATCAAACAGAAAGACATTTAGGTGGGTGTTTTAGTATTCCGGCTCAATGAACCGATAAGGGTGATCGTCTGTTGCAACTATGCACAGACAATCGTTTATTTTTAGCAAGCACTAATTTTAAACATAAGGAGAGACATCGTCTAACATGGCGACCACCTGCACCAAACCAACGATGGACTCAAATAGACAATATTGTCATCAGTCATCGTTGGAGAGGCTCAATAGAAGATTGTCGCTCGTTTTGGAATACTTGTTTAGACTCTGATCACGCTTTAATACGAGCGCACATTTGTCTGCGCCTCAATGGACGCAGGAAAAGTACACTAGGAAG